TTTCTATTGCTGAAAACCGCAGATCGCTAGCTATTGCGGTTGTCGAGTTATTGTGTTTACACCCACCCTTCTCTCATTCTGGCGCGGACATAGGATTGTAGTCTTGTTCTCTGATCCTGATATCCTCATTCACCTTCAAAATTATATTTTGCAATAACGGATATGAGGCTTTGCCATTTATCTTTGCAGTAATACTGAACTGTTATGTTTATGTCCGCAAGAATACCCATAAATGCTAAATCTCAACCAATCAGCCGATTCAACATCAACAATGATCGATGAAACGTTTGAAATAAAGAGTCACTGAACATCTTTTCTTTCAACATTCTTTTATTCTTTTTTTTTTAATTTTTTATCACACTCATATTTCGTTCATTTTTCTGCCGTTTTCGATTATTCTAATAAAGAAGTTTATATTTGCAACCATTTGAGTTCATTCATATAAATGATTCCTCAGAGCCACAAAAAACCTGCATTATACTCTTTTACTTTATTTTACAGTGGGATGGGTTAAACAAAGTAATGTGAAAAGAAATTATTTTCTATTCGATTAGATAAACGCTGAAAAGGATGAATATAGGTATGAATGTGTATTTAGAGAAGACTCTTATCCACACTCACATTGATATTAGTCAAGATAACGTTAGATATTTAATTGGTTTAATTCGAGCGAGTTCATCAATAAATGTATCTAACAGCAATAGTGTATCTTTGATAATGTATGACTTGAGTTGTATATACATTGCAATTAGTGTTATCTATAACTAATGTACTAAATGTAACATAATCTATAATATCTGATCTTATCCGCTATTAATGACCTAAAAAGAGTTCGTCTGTTATACATTTTATGTTGATGCTTTGGATGATCGAGTTTCATCTTACTGGTGACATTTCACGTGGTGATAGAAATATTCAATTTTACACAATAAATCGAATACATCATCAATTCCTAGCTACTGATTCAATCATTATAGGTGGAAGTGTACAGGCAGTTAAAAGATTATGATTTATAAAATGCAAAGAATGAAAACATCTTATTTTGATTTGATGTAACAGCTTGTAGTAGAATTCAGCTTGCCGATCGCTACACTACCGAATTCATATGTATCATCAATCGAAGACTGATTGATGATTACATGATAATAGTTGACAGTCTTAGACACGATTTTCCAGCACTATATCCAGAAATGATCCAGATTCCATTGATAGTCAAGACGAGAGATTGAATAGAAAATGGTTCCAGAACTAATAAAGTGATTTCCAGACTGTTCTCAATCGTGAAAAGATTGAAGCAAAGTAAAAAATAGTGGAAATTATGCCAAATCTATGTTTCTCACTACTGTCTCATCAATTAAACTGATGATGATATGATAGCTATATTCTTTCTCATAGTAAGGCAGTTGATGCAAATCCTTTCACCACGACTAGATTTTGAATTTTCTATAATGCTTTGGTGATTATTAACTACGTAGATTGTGAGTTTTTATTTTAGAAAGTGAATGTGAGTCTCATATTCGCGTATACCAATACATATCACCGTTCACAGTCATACCCATAGCCCGATAAAACATATTTTGAGTCAGACTACGATTGGTGCCTAGCATGATCACCGTGATAGTGACTGGAATTTAGTCATGGACAGTCACGGTATTAAAATAGTCACATATCCTGTTTCTGTAAACTGCAGTAGGTTTTTCGCAGAAGTCATCCATAAAGGACGTCTAGGTAAAGTTTGTCAGACGGCGAGAGTCTCAGCACTGAGGGGATACAGAGAAACCTTTGTTGCGCTACCGCCACTCCAACCCGCCATCCGGTCATCACCTGCAGGAGAGTTCTTTTTATTTTGTTTCGCACTGAACATCCTTGATGAATGGTCTTACAAAGAAGGGCCGTGACTCACAGTCACAGTCACGAACAGTGACAGTCGTGATCGTGACGAAGAATGTTGGTTACGTCAGGAACTAACTACAACACAATAGTTAATCTCAACATATTCATACTGCTCTTATTGTCATATTCTTTCTATATTTCTTATACCTCATCTGTGCTAAGTCTCGAAATAATCCTTACATCTTCAGTTACTGCATACCTACGCATCTATTGAGTTCTTTTTTCTTTTGTTCTAAATTCCTATTGTGAAATATTTTCGACGAAAATTGATGTCGGATACTGCTGATAAAAACAGTCATGTAACAGTGGTATTCACCATTACCACATATAATGCCATTCATTCTATTTGTGAGTCATGTTTACGATGGATCATTCAATATTACTTTAGTTAAATTAGATATTTCTTTTACAGTATTTGTTCATGGCGATCAGAAAATTGTGCTATTTGGTCATTGTAAATGCTGCGGGTAAATCAGCTGACCAATCTGGTTGTCTCGAGATATTTATATGTGTGCATGACAACCAATACAAGCAATTCAAACTCGACCACAGAAAAAAGCATTCACTCTTATAATTTACAGAGCATCAATCAATATTATTATGTCAAACGTGATTATTCACTCAGTACATTGGAAAAGTATGCCCTTGAGCTGCTCATTCATTCTTCGAAGGATACGATTAGCGCCGACAGAATCAAAAATAAAAACATTTTAACATACAAATACATTTTTTCTACAGCCGCTATCTGCATCGGCAGTTTATTTGCATGAGCAAATACTTACATTATTCAAACGACAAGCAGTATGGTCGATTCACTTAGAAATATGATGAAAAGAGTGAAATTGACAAGCTTTCTGCGTTTCAAAATGCATTAAATGAAGCATAATCAAGTATTGTCGTAGATGTAAGAGAGTACGTCATATTTCTCTCAGAGAAAAAAAAATATCTTTCTGTTTAGTAAGAGCGAAAACTTACTTATTAGATATAGGAATACTTCGTTTTTTATCTCCAATACCATCAAAAGATCGAAGAAATAAAAGCTCGCCAAAAGCAAGGTCAGTCAATGGAGTTGGAAACATTTTTTACGGATCAAAACGATCTAGATTTTTCCAACAATCACCGTCATGATCCAGAATAGATATGTGAATTTTAAAATCTTTCTTTGTTAGAGTTCACACTTTCTTCAATGTTTTTGTTTGACTTTTAGACAACTAATTCTTTGAGAGATATTTATCTATTTTCTGCAGTCTCAAAATTTCCGAAAAAGTCTTCCAGGTTTCTCCATACGATCTCATTGCTAAAGTTTAATCGATCACATTTCTACTCATCACTTTCTCAATAAACATAACACATATAGAGAAGACCTACTTTTCAAAACCTTCTTCAGACATAAATATTGTTGTTTTTTTGAGAGTGCACGATTGGCATAATAGTTATAGCATTTCATTCCGTTTTGTCTTTCGTAAAGTTGTGAAAAGTTTTGTCAATACAGTTCAGAAAGCAGAAATATTTTTTCTTGACATAACTTATTTGACAATGGTAGCAGATCAGTAACACGACTAAAATTCCTTTTGTCGCATTCCATCAATGCATAAAATTTAGTCTGACATATTTCAAAATATCTAAATAGGAAATCGCACTAAATCAACTCGAAGTTATCGCATTTCCGAAGCGTTGAAACGTTATAATAGGCTGTTGAAATTTGAAAACTATCAATTGAAATGCCGATATAGACTAGATTATGCTTTCGATTAATCATGATAACTGAACATCACGTTTTCTAGCTCGTTCACATTCTCATCTATCTGTGCTGGAAAATATTCAAAACAAGATACAATATTGTGTATGCTCTTCAAATTTATTGTTTAGAATCGCTTAGTAAAGTTCAATATAATTGCATTGTAAGTAAATTTGTTTATCTATTACTAAGTAATTGTCGAACTTTGCCTGATGCATATAAAACAACACATATTGATAAGATGCATAGTATCACGTTTTGATCAGAAAATTGTTCGCTTTAAGATATTTGTGAAGCAACATCGAAATCGTTCATATAAATTAACTTATAAAACTCATTAAAAAGGTAGCAATATGTCACATATTATTATACTGCGTTACTCAAGCTTGTTCTACTACAAGTAAGCCATTTATTTCAGCTCTGTAATGAAATAAAAGTTTAAGCAGAAAAAATGAAATATTTCAATACACACATTCATCTCTATTAATATTCAGAAAAATTCACTTTTATTTTCTGGTTAAATGAGAAAAACTGAATTATTATATATTCATTTTTATATTCTTGATGTATAGGCCACTATTTACTAATGTACAGCCGAAATAACAAGCATGTAATGCATAGTGTATTTATTATGCTCATATACTTTTTACCATATATTACAACTCAAAATTCAACAGTATTATATTCAAAATATCGATGGCTACAACTGCCAGCAACTCCTAAACTTTCTCCTTATCCTATTGGTCAATATGCTGAGATCAATAATATTCTGATATGGTATACAATCTACGGTTCAGATAATGCTATTCCTCTCCTTTTTCTTCATGGTGGTTTTGCTAATAGTGATTATTGGGGATTACAAGTCGGAGAACTTAAATCATTGTATCGATGTATATTAATGGATTCTCGAGGGCAAGGTCGAAGTTTCACATCATCAACTAATATTACATATGATTTGATGACATCTGATGTTATTGCTTTGTTAGATTATCTTAACATTGAACGAGTACATGTAGTTGGATGGAGTGATGGAGGCATTATTGGTCTCAACTTAGCGATGAATTATCAGAATAGATTAATCTCATTGTTTGCATTTGGAGCAAGTTATGTTCCTACTGGTGCAAAAGATATTTTCACCTCGCCTGTTTTTATGGCCTATATCGAACGTACTAAAGTTGAGTATGAAGCAATGAATCCAGTCAATGACTATTCAAGTTTGTACAATAATTTGACATCAATGTGGGCTATACTTCCAAACTGGACTCAACAAGATTTTGAAAGAATTGATAAGAATTTGCCCATTTGGATAGTAGATGGTGACCACGAAGAAGCTATCTTTCGAAGTCAACCAGATGACATGACTAGTTGGATTCCACAAGCAAGTGAATTGATCTTACCGGGAACGGGCCATTTTGCATTTATTCAGGATCCTGTAGTTTTTACTGCATTCGTGAAACATTTTGTAACTGAAATCGATTGTCCAAGTTGTATTGACATGATATTGGCACCCTCAGCAGCTTCTAGCATCTTTTATTTATTTCATGTTTCAATACATTTCAATAATTTATTGTCTATTCTCAGTTGCTTCATGCATATATTGCTGTCACATATTCTGTTCATTCAATTAATTGCTTTAATCTTGATTAAAATACACGTTTGAATAAAAAATAGAAAAGAACCTTGATATAGAAGAGTCAACAAGTGATTAAATGAGATTCACTTAATAACTGAACTATGTATTTGAATAGATTCACTAATAAATTAATCGCTATTAAAGTAAAGAATACAATAGGATACAGTTCTTTAAACGGAGTTAAATGAGTGAGGATTACAAAGCAAAGTTATAACTGATCCGATTGAAGTAGTTGAACCCGCTGGTTTTTACCGATTAAAAAGAATTATCGCAATATGCAAGTTTTCTTTATTGAAACATATTGAGAGTAAGATTTAGTGCTTTAATGAAAATAATAAAAGAATGCTATATCAAAATACTCATTATGTGATCACCTTAGTCTTTATCAATTATATGTTGTCAATGTTCTTTCGGTTGTTTTATTACTTTCTATCAATAAACGATGCAAGCTCATTTCTTTACATATTTGAAGTTGCTCATATGCTGCTTTGTGTTTTCTATATCCAGTTCTTTAACTATAAAGTTTACTATTTTTTACAGTGTGGCGTTTGGTGATTGCTGGCTATTGAACTATTGACTAATTACTCAATTGAGTATGAAATTATTCGTGCCATAATAGTACTAGTACAAAATTAAAAAACTACGGTTGTGACTGTCAGCTACCAAGCATTAAATGATGGATTGATACTATTTGACGTTTTTTTTGTTTGATAGATTGTTTTACCTTAAAAACGAAATAATTAACTTCTGTTGTTTTGAGTAACCATGAGTAGGAATAAAACAAGTGAAGGAAGAAAAAAAAAGTTGTAGCTGAATAAACAGTATGCAAAATAAGAATTGACGATTGCAATAAGTATGAAACATTAAAATATGTTAATAGAAAATGTTTTAACATTTTTGTTTCTCATCAGATTCTTCTCTGCGCATCTTGCCGACCACGATTTTCTTTTTCTTGAAGTATTATTGATTTTCTATCCAAAACTATGGCAGAACGTAAACAATATGATCAATGCACGATAGGCCAAATAAAGAGAGTGATATGGACGTGCCAAGGATGTCCATCACCATTCTGTGCTGATCATTGTAAAGAACATCGTCAATATTTATCAGCCGAATTTGATCGTGAAGTTGTTCAAGTTCATGACAAAGTTCGCGAGAAAATTGATTAATTTAAACAATCAACTGATACAAAGGCGCAAATTTTCTTCCAGATCAATGCATGGGAAACGACAACTATTGCCGGTGTTCTTCAAGCAGCCGAATGTGTTCGTTATCAAGTTATTCAGTTGTTCGAACAAGATAAGAGTACTTTCACGAATCAATTCACTAGTTTGACTAAACAAATCCAACGTTGCCGACAAGAAGATAATATTTAACGAAGATCAAATTAAACAGCTGCGAGAAAAGATTAATCAACTTCAGCAAGTAGTCGCTCGAATATCTCGATCAAACAATACCAATGTGGTTACCGTCGAAAATGGTTCAATCGATTGCAATCGCTATATCTATGCTGAGAAGGAACAGAAAGCAAGTGAGTGAATCAATATAACTGTGACAAAAATACCACAGTTTTGTAGATTGTAGGCACATTTGTAGCAAGGTTTTTCAGAATTAGGGCAGTATACACTCGCTAAAACGCAAATGAACAACAGCTGAGTATCTACAAATGTGAAGCGTATGATCAATGCTCGTAAGATCATCAAATAAAACTTTCCTTCTATGTTCGATTTCATGATCTATTTCATTAAATTCGTAGCAATAGATAAGATAATCTATAACTTGGATTCAAAAAATATGGATCTTCGTTCGGACAAAATACTCCATCATTACTTCTTATTATTTATATAGAATAGTGATGAGAGGATTCCTTTGCAATGCAAATGTGTCTCGAAGAATTTCTTGTGCTAGAGTTAGACCAAGTCTAACGGTTTTCGCCAATTTTGACGAGAGCAAACATAAACGTCTTTTTTTTGTCTTCACATTCGTGTCCTCATAAAGAAAAGAAACCAGTAGGCAACAGGTTAAAACTCCGTATTGGATGCGACAACGAACTATGTAATCAACGAGTTTCATAAACCAGAGATCACGAGCAAATTTGTTCTTTTTAATTCAATCAATTCGCGATAAATCAGAATCATTGAACGACCGCTCAAGACTGTATGATATTGAACTTAACTTGTAAAAAGTGATGAAATTGACTATTGAAACGAAGCTATTTTCTTTAACAATCTTTGTTTCTTACATCTTAGATCGATCTCTTACTAGAATTACCACTGATACCAAAATGGATTCAGAATGGTGTTACAGTAACTGATGGCGATGGATCTAGCCGACTATCATATCCTTGAGGTCTGTACATAGATGATGTAAATGAACGTGGTAAGTGTGAGAATCAATTAGATAGGCCAGCAGCCGTCCTTGTCGATACAACGACTGACAGTCTGATTAACTGTGGCTATGGAAATCGGCACGTAGTACGTAAGTCTCGACAAAGTGACAAAAGATCAGAAATAATTATTTCTAAAGTCGATTGTTACGGATTGACACTGAATGAGTAGAGATTTCTCCATGTTTGCGATTGTGCCAAGAACGAACTAAGACGCTATCGAGTGGGAGAGACAGATGGAGTCATTGCTGCTGGTGGCAATGTAAAGGTGACCGTCTCAATCAACTCAATTTTCCTAGTTATGTCTTTATTGATCAGGATCAATATATCTTTATATCGGATACTGACAATCATCGAGTGATAAAATCGATTAATGCTGCTTCAGAAGGTACAGTTGTAGCCGGTGGTCAAGGCAAAGGAAATGATCTTACGCAATTGTCTTATCCTCAAGCAGTGATTGCTGATTCGTCAGGTATAATTTATGTGGCAGACGAAGAAAATCATCGAGTAATGCGCTGGTTTCGTGGAGCGACTCAAGGCACTATGATTGCTGGTGGCAACGGTAAAGGTATTCAAATGAACCAATTGAATCATCCTGCTGGTTTATCTTTCGATGGCCACGGCAATCTTTACGTCGCCGATTTTTACAATCATCGTATTCAACACTTCGATATTGAGACCAATTAAGAAATTTTTTGTAGCTCACTAATGATCGTTTTCTTCTTATCAAAACTGGTGTTCGAGGATATTGATCTCAGGAAATATCTGTCAAAATCTTACTTTGATTGAAAGAAAACTTCTTATTTTCTTCATTGCGTTACTTGATTGCTAAACTCAAGCTATTCACATTGAGGAACACTGCAACTTTAATCTTTCATAAATAGAAACTTGTAGTTTTCGATTAGAACAGGATCTCAATTATTATTATCTATTTTTTAATGATTTCTGTGTTTGTCATTAAAATACTGATTCATCTTAAGGCAGTGTTTCCATTCGACTTATCTTGCATTAAATAACGGGTGGGCCGGAATAAATTAGACTCTTTGTACTTTGAGTATTCCTCTTCTATTCTCCATTAGATTGAGACATTATTTTTTATCAAAAGATGGCGCTTGAAATTGTCTGCAAAACCATAAACGGTTGGAACCAAAAACGTTTTTAGATATGTTTGAGAAAAGATGAAAACCAAATACACACAAACATTCGCACAAAATAAATATGAAAATAGTGATGGATCGGTGAAAGTTTATCGTGATTTGGCCGGAGTGATTTCATTGCTAACCAACACATTATGGATACAAATGATTTATTTAACACTAGCTCTATCCATTTGTCACACCATTCTGGCTGTCTATGCATAAGTCAAACAAAAGTGAACATCTGAAAGCTGACGTGATGCCTAATTTTCAACAAAATGAGTGTTAACCAGAAAACTGTCTATTGAAACGAAGCACGTACTACGATTATCACATGAAGACCTTAGCTATTTTCCATAGCAGATAGTCAAAGAGTCGACCATAAGTAATCTGCACCAAAAGAGCACGCTAATTTTGCAAACTAGATGTCAGCAGACCTTTTCTAAGGTTCACAGATGTTACTTCAGTGGGTAATAGTGTACAGGCCATTTGTTTGCATTCATATCTAAGAATCATTAGTTTCTGAAAATTTCTGATGTCTGTCCATTACATTACAGTTTATGAGATGAATTGACTGACGCTATGAATTGAAATCACATAACAACAAAGGCAGCATTGAGAGACGAAATAAAGCGTTCTATCAAAAAAAATTAAAAAAGAGAATAATTTTACATTCTGTACTTGATGATTTTACTGTACGAAGATGTCTGATCTAAAAAACGGAAAAAATTATAGTTGTTAAATGAAGTACACCATTTTGTGAGAAATTTTAGGGACTATCTTTTGATAAAAAGGATGCGGAGGGTGGATGCAGGTGTAAGGAGCTGCAATGATCGTCTTTTAGTCATCCGCATCCACACATCTCACATTCACTTGCTCAAGTTAAACTTTCACAATTCGAACAGTCAATTCTATATGGGAAACTTTTCAGCGCAAAGAAAACGTCTGAAACAATAAATCGACCTAATGAATTAATTGTCTCATTAATTAGCATTCATTTTGAAAGTATCACTCTCATACTATTTAATATAAAGAAACCATAGAAATCAGGTTTGTGCAGAAAACCCTTTTGAAATCGGTAGCTCGAGATCGTCACACCATCATTTTAATAAGTTTTGAACGTGAGTTTGGAGTCAAGTCAGTAACTTTCACTATTTTTGAAAGTTTGGAAGCTTTCAGATGAAATTGGTGTTATATTAGTGTGTTTCTGAAAGATTCATCCATATACACATTTCAGTTTCATAAACAGTTTACTCAATTTAATTCGCAAATGATAACATGATCAGCAAACTATGATTTGTCTCACGTAAAATAAAAATATGAACTATTTCGAAACGTCAAAATTTTTCCGTCTTTCTCTATTTTCTTAAGTTGAGGAAGAGTTTTTTCGAAAGCTCAATTGATATTTGAAGTTATCAGTTCTGTTAGAACGCATTAAGCTATTTGACAAAAAAAAACATGCAAACGAATACATGGCTTCAATGATCTCTTCTCGTTTGACGAAAGAACTCTGATGCTGCATTTTGTTAACAGAATTATTGCAAATAGTTATCTATACTTTGGTTCTCTTTTCCGCTATGTACATTTACTATATGACGAGTATGTACAACTTATTATCGCATATACAGTTTGCTGTTAGTTTGTTTGTTTTTATTTGGATGATTCTGCATTATCTCTTAACTATTACAACAGTGATTAATTGCTGTTCGCTTGTATGAAATAATTGACAAATGACACTTGTCGTTCGTACAGCCACCATCAATGTTAATTACTAAAAGAAAGAAAGCGCTCGTTGTCTCTTATATAAGAAATTGCAGAATTGAACTTATTGAACATTGTTGTAGTATCTCTATTGATCATCATATTCTGCACTCAACATGAACATGATGAATATCACATTTATTGCCCATCAAAATTCGCACCAGTAAAAGAAAACAGTTCTCGAGCGAACAAAAGAGAAAGCAATCTATATTTCTTGTCAGATGAAAAACGGTTGGCCTCGTATCTGACATGCCATAGTCAGACAGATAAATATTAAGTTTGTAACTTTTGTATTGTCCTGAACCATTTATTTCTATTAAGTAAAACACTCCTCGAATCTGATTTCAATGCAAACAACATTTAAATCTTGATATCCATTCGTATCAAGTTGAATCTGTTATGATAGATCCATACCGTTGTCTATTTTCACATATTCATTAGAGTTGAGGCGCATGACATAACCAAATACAAGGGGTCCTTTGTGAATTATTTTCCTGTTTCTCTACTGTAAAATACAATACATTAAAAAGATACAGCGCATGACACGAAGTTTTTAGTTTCCACTACTATTTGTTTTCTTCTAATATCATGCATGCCATTCGTATTTTAAGTCCCTCGAAGATTTAACCAGAGATCAAATAAAAGAAACTCAACTGAGTACGACAATTTTGAAATTTTATTTGTTTACTTGATTTTTGAGTTTCTACGGACATGAAACATAAGGAAAAGTTCATCGTACAAATCAAGTGTATGTCATAGTATGCTTAAACTGTAAGAAAATTTAGCCCTCCACATTTTATCGAAAATAAAGGTCTCTAAGAGTCTTTCTTCAAAATAAACCCTTAATTGCAGTCTTATTCAAAAGAATTAACGTACAGTAAACATTGTCTTTCACTCAATTGGATCTCTTCAGGCAATGCAGTAATTTTCTCATTGATAAGAGCAATCGAAACAAATGAACTACGGTTTTACTAACACTGAACCAACTAAAATAGATACTTTTTCAATGACAAATCCTTCCTGTACTCGGCATGAAAGATATTTTCTGGAGTATGTATTTTCATAATGTTTTCTCTACTATTTCGAGCTTACTTTCTAAGAATATATGGCAAACAAGGACTCGCTATCGAGGTTTACCATTTTGTACTTGCTTTTCTTCATTCACAATATTTTCGTGCAAGGCGCACATTTCCAATCACTAACAAAAGTTCAAAAGTCAGTCATAATTACTAAGACAATCGGCCTGAGTTCTAGATCCATAAATCTAGCCAATTTTCATTATATTTTACGGCAAATGAGCTGTTTGCGGTTAAATTAGTATGATCAATAAACCATTGACGAAGGTTGTCTTTGGCATCATCAGTTAATTGACCATTGATGTACAACGAAA